TCAATGTATCAATTCACATAACCTTTTTGCCTTTTTTCTTGGTCTTAATCATCCCATCATACACAAACTTGTAAACCAGTAATTGACACCAAATAAGATAACACAGTATCGGGTTCACCATAATACAAACCATAATAAAAGAAACCATGATTCATGCACACGAGACTATAAAATAAATACATTAAATATCATACTGTATTTAATACTGAAAAATATACTAAACAACAACTGACCAACAATGTATCAGATTTGGACTCCATTGGCAATCTCAATCAATTATACATATCTATAAAGTCACAAAATACCGTTTAATTATTTATTAAGCTTTAATGCCGTGATAGGAGGTAGGGTGAGAGATCCTTACTTGTTTCGGGGTCTGAAATCGGCTCTAGGGTGCGCCTACAGGCTGTCCCTAAATTTCTTGAATTTTTTCCAGGAAACCGAAACGCACTACCAGTACCTGCACGTGTCCCAAAAAAATTCCAAATCAGACCTAGGGCCCCTTTCGGCCAATATCGGAATTCCGGCACGGCGGCTCCGCCGTACTGCGGCGACGGCACCGTCGCTCGCGGTGGCGATCCGCCTTGGGTTGGCTGTTTTCGGCCGTTTTAGGCCGAATTCGGCCAAACTTGCATTGGTTCCTATGATAAAACAACCCTAGGGCCCTCGGTGGGCCAAAAAATCACGAAAAATTGAGACTTACTGGCAGCAGTGCCCTCGGGTGCGGTGGCTTCTCCGGCGCGAGTCGCGGTTTGATGTTTTGCTCCGGTCAACCTGTAGAGGAAAGGACGGTGATCACAGTGGTACAAAAATTGCATCGAACGGAGACCGGGAAGGGCCTCATCGGAGGCAAAAATAGAGAGAAGTCGCAACGGCGCCGCTGGACTTCGGCAGTATTTTCCGGTCGATTAGCCGGTGGTTTGGCTCCAATTTGGCCATAGGCGGATTCAGCATCGAAAAACGAGCCAATGGGAGAAAATTTACCTCGTTTGGCGGTCGGAAAATTTTCCGGTACGGTGGTGGGTGGCGGCGGCCGGCTCTCCGGCGTCTGGTTCTTCTTCTCCAGCGAGGCACTGGTGGCTAGAGTTTGTGGTCGGGTGTGGATCGCCCACGTGGCCCCGTCCCGCGTCAGTGTTCCTTGCCATGTGGCATGTCCTGGTTGGCCGGAGCTGCTGACTAGGCTGCTGACATGGTACAACTTTTCTAAATTGCGTTTTGACCTCTGATTTCTGATTTTCTTTTCAAAAACACTTCCAAAATTCAAATTTTCACCCATTTTTCTCAAAATCAATTTCAATTAAATCCCAAAAATAATTTTATAATATTTTATCATTATTATTAATTTTATTTCTATTAAATTAAATTAAATTAAGTTAAACACATAATTATTACAAAATAAATTAACCATTAAATAAAATAAAATTAAAAAAAAGGTTTCAATATTCAAAAAAATAAAAAATAAAAAAAAAATTATTTTTGGGGTGTTACATATACTTTAAATACGATTGGGATAAGGACATTTTTTTGAGATCTAAATTGGGTTTAGAGGTAATAATACTCTTCAATTACATCTGAGTATTCAATTCAATTGTTATAATTTACTTATATAATAAGTATAAATTAGTGATAATTATATATTTGATATATGATTATATTATTGATATTTAATTAATAATATTAATAATTAATTTTTTTTTAATTTAAAAAAAGAAAAGTAGTTTGTGCAGGATTTGAAAAAATATTAAGAGAATATTTTCTTTTGAAAGAATACATATAGCTGAGTGGTATACCAAGAGCTCAAAATCATTCCATTCTTCTTCAAATTCGCCAAAAACAATCTTTCTAGAACAGAATCAGAATTGAATCAAACAGCTGATGATCAAATCAAATATATTGGCAAACAAGTGAGACTGAGGAGCCTTATTAATTTTCTACTAATTCAAGAAACATATAAATAAAAACAAAATTATCATGTCACCAACATCAATAACCAAGCCTTGTTACCATCTTAATTTAAAAAGACAGAGATCTCCAAGAAAATTTTTGATGCAGGAGTAAAATGTACATGGTGAGAACTTGTTGGGCCGAGAGAATGAAACCATTTGGGAAATTTCCCAAAGCGTGTACCATCTCGTCAATCACTCTCTGTCCTTGAAGTAACCGGAATCCAAATTGACTGGATAAAGATCAGCTGCTGATGTAGAAGAAGCAGACCATGGACCAACTGTTGATATACTGTGAGTCTCAGTGAGATCAAGCTGTTGGTAGTGCTTCTTCATAATCTCAGCATTCACCTGACTGTTAGACAAACTTGAATCCGAAGCCAATTCGTTGATGGCAGCCTTCCCTTCTAGCATGCTGACAACCAAGGACATGGAAGGTCTGGCAACAGTAACATGACTAGTGCATAGAAAAGCCACATTGATCATCACCATCACCTCTTTCTTGTTGAAGTCTGTTCCCAACCTGGGGTCAACTAGCTCCATTAACTTCCCTTCTTCCTTCAAACTTTGAGCCTGCACACACCAAGTGGATTGCTACCTCACTTCTGTTTTGTATAAAGGGAGACGTAAAAACAGATATAAGAAAAGCAAAGATTGAGAATTACCCAATCAAGAAGATAAAAAGCATCCTGCTTTTGCCGGTGACTAGTGTTGCTCCGCCCACTAACAATTTCCAAGGCAACAACTCCAAAACTATAAACATCTGCTTTATCCGTTAAGTGGCCTCGCATTGCATATTCAGGCGCCATATATCCACTGTAAAATCAAGAAAAAACATATGAAACATAGTCCATGTTTTTTAATCCATAGAATAGGCTTTCATGATGTAGTAATTGGATGTTGAAAAAAAAAAAAAAATTTATTGTATGTATGTATATATATGTATATAGTAATAATTATAGACG